ATTGAGTTTACATTGGTACATGTACCCATTGAGTTTACATGGTACATGTACCCATTGAGTTTACATGGTTACACATACCCATTGCGTTTACATTGGTACATATACCTATTGAGTTTACATTGGTATGTGTACCCATTAAGTTTACATTGGTATGTGTACCCATTGGGTTTACATTGGTACACATACCCATTGAGTTTACATTGGTACACGTACCCATTGAGTTTACATTGGTACACGTACCCATTGAGTTTACATGGTTACACGTACCCATTGAGTTTACATTGGTACACATACCCATTGAGTTTACATTGGTATATGTACCCATTGAGTTTACATTGGTATGTGTACCCATTAAGTTTACATTGGTATGTGTACCCATTGAGTTTACATTGGTACACATACCCATTGAGTTTACATTGGTACACATACCCATTGAGTTTACATTGGTACACGTACCCATTGAGTTTACATTGGTACATGTACCCATTGAGTTTGCTTTACTGCCCTTCGACATTCCGTGTGTTATTTCAATAATGCCAAGACAATCTTCTAAACTCTGAAGTTCAAGCTCTGGGTACTCATATAAAGTTGCATGTAAGGCAAGTGCTAGATATATGGCCTGTGCATTTTACACATATTTTGTAATTTTAGTGCATGTGGGATAGTTACATGTAGATCAGGTTGCATAAGTAGGTGGGTTTTGTGAATAGTGGAATCTGATCATGGTTCGATCCCATCAATTCTATCCCACAATTCACGTTGATTTGGATTTGCCATATGGTCTGTATGCCAATGACTTTATGCAAATCAAATGCAAATTTTATGTAAATTAGATATCCTCACTTTCTGATTGATGGATATTTTATCACATAATTTTATTATGCTTATCTGTGCTGTATTCTCCGTCATTTGTATTGAATGAAGGTGGCAGTTCCAATTGTGCAACATTGTCACAATAAGTGCCCTCGATATCTCTGATATAATGTTTGAATAATTCAGAATTTAATTGCATTCCACTAGTTTTGTTATGTAAATGTCAACTTCATCCTGAGTGTTATTCTGGATGTCATTGCTAGTGATGACTTCTATTACCTTGACCAGAATGATGCAGAGAGAAGTGGAGGACTATTGTTAACTAAATTATCTGTTGTAGAATGAATAACTATTATTTTACATCGATGAAGGAAAAAAAAGTAAATCAAATGACAATGAAACCATGTATGTTAAATTGATAAGTTCCCATCATCAAATGCTGATTAATTGTACTAGATTATAATGCAAGGAATTAACTGCTTCCTGTCTGCAGGATCACATTCAATTGGTATAATAATATCCACTTTCAGGATTTCAGAGTTCTCCTAAATTCTATAGTGAAAAGTTATAAAACCTGATTATAATCACATTGGTTTACATTGAAAAATTATTATAGCTTTTTTACCTATCAGGCATAAATATGGTCAAGAATTATCTTTCATTGTAACCAATCATCTTTCATCTCTGAAGTATACATATGTGGATAGAATGACACACAGTGAAATGGAAGTGAAACAAAATCTTGCATGCAATGATAAAGTATTCATTGAAGTATATCAACAGATTATTTTTACAATATATTAAATCATTTTTATTCAGTAATATTTGATCAATATACATTTTATTGTGGTAAGACAAACAAATACTGAGGTTATAATAAATATTCAGCCACTGAGGACAGTGGATAATGCATATACAAGTTAAATGTAGACATGCTATGTCTGCAATAAGTTCAATAAAAATGATAGAAAGATAGACCTGATGTGATAAGAGTTGAATTATTTATTAGCTTAATAAAATTATAATAGCAACTTGAAAGCAGAAGACAGATAAATACCTTTCCTACAATTACAGTTACTAGTTGTTTCTTTAATAGACATGTGAATTGTGTAATTATTTATATTTTTATTTTTAAGTCAACATTAGATTCCATAATTCAATGATTTGTTTGATAGAGATGGGTTCAGTATGCAGTATATAATTTCATGGGCAGGTCATTATTACGTATTTTGAGCTAATGTGACACCTACCAATTTAGCTATTTTTTCCAACAAAGTCAAATTACAGATTTATGAAGTCAGATTTTTTGACTTCTATATATTAAGGGAAAGGTTACTCAGGTTGCTAAGCAATGAAAGTACTAGAGGGTATATCGTTTTATAATAAATATAAATACTATTTGATCTTATAACCCTGAGCAAGGTATGGTAAAATGTACTTTTACTCACTGAATAGGTAATACTGTATTTGGACAACACTCACAACAAATCACTCAAACTGTTACTCACTGAATAGGTAATACTGTATTTGGACAACACTCACAACAAATCACTCAAACTGTTACTCACTGAATAGGTAATACTGTATTTGGACAACACTCACAACAAATCACTCAAACTGCATAAATTCTTTGCATTGTTTCTTAAATTTTGATCTAGCTTGATAAAGTAAAATTTAGTTACATTTGAAAAATGTTTGCATTTCACATTTCCAGTTGTAATCTTCACACAGTATCACACTCCTGAATGGAAATGTAAGTAATGTACTTTATAATTGCTATAATACATGGCAAAGTCTTGGTCAAAGCCAAGTTCCGTTTTTCATCTTTCCATTTGTAATCTTAATTCTGTGACCAGCTAGACGTTCAGTAGAATATGTTGAAGAATGCGATAAGCTTCCTCTTCTCGGCTTTGGCACGCTACCAATGCACTTGTAACAGAAGAATGCTTCTAAAAATGCCAAACGGTACTTTGAACTGAATGTTTTGTAGATTATTGGGTTGATGGCTGAGTTCAAAAAAAGCAGCATAATTGTAATAGTGATCAGTGTCTGGTAATTTTGAAAAGAAATTGGCATTGGTTTGCCAAAAATTATAAGGAGTTCAAAGAATGTTTTAATTTGGAATGGAAGTACACATCCAAAAAAAATAAAAGTAGCAATTATCAATACTGTTATAACTTGTCTTTTTTCACGTTTTGCTATCAATTCTAAATTCTTTGTAGTCGTGTTAGTTTCTCGTTTGTGCATTTGTCGAACAATCAGCATATAAAGTATGATGACAGTCAGCATGGACAACATGAACGGTCCCATTTGTAGTATAAGTGCTACTATTACTAATGTTGTACTGTCTGGTATTACACATACTAAACTGCTAGGAATGCTAAATACTGGTGCAATTAACCAGGTCAGTATGATGATCCATATAGCCTGCTTCTTTGTATTCATTCTCTTGGCTTTCATTGGATGACATACAGCAATGTAGCGATCTGTTGCAACAAGTGCAATTGTAAAGACGGAAGCATTCATGGGTAAAACCAAAATGGCATTAACAGCGATACACGCTGCTGTTGGGTTCTTCACCTCAATCATAAGATACAAAATGAGGATGTTATATGTCGTCATAGCGATTAAAAACAGTATATCAGCAACGCTGAGATTCAGTAAGTAAACATTGGTGACTGTTCGCATTCGTGGTATTTTTGCGATCACATACAGATAAGAAAGATTGGCAATTATTCCAAAAACTGCAATTCCCAGCGTAATATTGTTTATTAAATTCTGAAGGTCAGAATCAACAATTGGTGGCAGTAGACCAAATCCAGAACTGTTATCTTGTGTTAAGTTCACATCATTACTGGGTAGACCATGCAGCAATGAGTTGTCCATTATATCTTTAACTCATATTGCAACTAAATATCACTTCAGTTTCTGCAAAGAAACAAAAAAAAAATGAAATGGACTGCACTTAAATATTCAAATAACACTTTGATAATAATGTAATATATCTTCATAACTGTATACCCCAAAGAATCCTACTTTGGTGTGTCAAGAAAACAGTTCCATTAGATCAAGTGACCTAAGGCATATGTACACAACTGTGGACCCTTTAGATTTTCCAATGCAATGAAATGCAACCGCAATATTGTAATAGCAATAGTAGTCATGTTTATTTTTTCAGATTCTGTCAATGTTTTATGACAAATAAATAATAATAACAAGCCCATATGCTGATTGATAATCTGCTCTGCTCAAAAAACAACATTTTTTTTAGGTGTTGCCATGGTAATGGCAGGACAGAAATTTGTTTGTCAAAATTTGTTTACCCACACTTGAGTTGAATAGAATATCCTTGGTTTTAGGAGAAGATACATTTGGCACAAAGGTATTCAAAAATCACTTTTTGGCTGATGCCGTGGCAACACTGGAACAGGAATTCTGGACTTTACCCCATATCTAGAGTGTGACCTGCCTGCCAAGTTTGATTGAAGTGAGCCCAGCCAAAAAAATCACAGAATAGTTAATACATGACGACGACCCACATGTTTGCTGTAAAGTTGACAAGTGTTGAAGAAAAAGGCATCTTTCTAACTTTCAAGTGCTGTGTTCTCGTGTGTCCCACTGTACATTACTATGATGTCAAATCCCTTAAGATAGTATTCACTCTGCCAACATGAATAACTGGTTTATGTTCATGATTGGAGTTTAGACCAAACCATTTGTGTAGGGGTTGATAGGATTGTTATGTGAGGGGCTTCATTTTCTTTCCTCTCTCAGTTATTGGTTCCTTAGTAAGAGGATCAAGTTCAGCAATTATAGTTAAGCAGTTTACTATTAAAATCAGTCTGAGCTTGAAGTGTAAGACCACTATCAGGATTAAAATGCTTGCATGGACATTTCTAATCTCCTTTAGAATCTTTCTGGTATAATTAAAGTTGCATTTATAGAATACTGATTATTGTACCAAATACATATCTTGAGGACAGGTTTTATTTTTTATAATTTTCAGGAATAATTGTGAAATTTTGTTACAGTGAATAATTTTGTAGGCATGCAGGAAGTACTTTATATTACATGAAATTCACTGCTGTTCAAAATGTTCAAAAAATTAAGTTAAATTTACCAAACAACTAATTATAAATGATATCAGTACCTTTAATTTACCCATCAATACCTGAGTCTGTAATCTTTTTACGTAGAATTTTAAAGAATTGAGCCATCCCAGTCCTAACACAAGTTTTGCATTTCCTTATTAAATGCCGAAAACAATGATGCTGATCCTGTTGGTGATCTGAAACTTTATTATTGTTGAATTAATGACAATTATATTAGTTAAATTGAATTGTTTCGAAATTTAATTGTATTTATATTTTAAATGATTTGACAATTATATTTATAACAATTGTAACTACCGGTACTTCTCAATCATGTTTTTTTTTACATATTTTTTATCTTTGTGACATGATTTATTATTCTTTATCTTGTTGATGGATCATAATGTTTTATTTTCATCATCTGACATTTACAGAGTTTATACTTAGGGCTATTCCCTCAAATCAATCAAAGAAAATACAACATTTGCATCATAATATGATAATATTGGACATGGACAGTCTACAAGTAGTTTTAAGATTAAACAGAAACTTCCATTAAGGCCAAGAACTTTATTATTACTGTAGTAAGAATGTGAAATTATTAGCTGAGTACACAAATTAATAGATATAAATAATAATAATAATAATTTGTAATAATTTGAAAAAAAATATCAAAGTTATTAAAGATTCCCAACATTTATTAAGTTTACTTTCTTAAAAATTAAGTCGAATCAAATTAAGTCAAGTCAAATTAAAAATAGGCCCTGCCAAATTGGAATCGAGTAAGTCGCATTCCACAGACCAGTCTCGCTCGTGAGTGGTAGAAATCGCATCCGAACTGCAACTCACCTCAAGCTACATTTCTTGTAGTTTACTTTAAAGACGCAAGGTGGCGTTGCCCCAATGTCAAAGGTCAATGAGTGAAATATAGCCAAAAGTGCCCGTGTCTCCTTGTCTGTCCACACATCAAACTCGCCATCCGAAGCTGCCATATTCACCAAAAAAAACAGTGACAAATTGTAGAAAACACAGCGTCCCTGGTTCTTTTATTGGGGGAAAACAGTGAAATT